TGTTCTTAAAACTAGCATATTTGTTTTAAGAACATCAAATTTCCGCGGGGCAACTATCAGCCGATAGTTCCTCGACAGAAACACTATTGTTTAATTAGAATGCAGTAGCTGTCGGTCGTCCACGAGATGCGACGTTTTTATCGTTTTTCCGAAGTTTTGGAAGAAAGTTTAGATGTAAATGGATAATTATATTTCTGAGTAGACAAAAAGAAGGACATAAACGGATTCTTGACTTTAAAAACTTGAAATTATTGAAAAACCGGTGCGCGCGCGTAAACAACTGCAAATTTACCAAGGACAATTCAATACATGCGATTTTGTTAAAGCGTAAAGTTCAATAATGCGTCGAAAAATATTTGGAAACCATTATTTGCGTTAATTTAAGTTAGAATTCTACTAATTAATCGCTCTCTATTTCTATGAGACGATAGTTGATTCGGCCTTCGGCCTCGTCAACTATCACCTCATAGAAATCTCGAGCTCATAATCTAATTGTTAAATAGTACTAACTTTCCTGTTCATTATCAAAATCTGTAGTGAAAGTTAGTATAAGTAGTTAATATAACGTCAGTAGTTGTTTGCCTTTCACTTCATAGCAAACTGAAACAGAGTTGGAATGAATGCGCTTGTTAGACACTATACAGAAGTTGCTGAGAGTTTTCTCTTTTCTTACAGGTCGACCTTATTATTCACGCGGCAGCAGCTGTGAACATGGTTTATCCATACCAGGTATAACGGCTTAGCGTTATCAGTTTTAGCATGTAAATACGCAACAGAATCAAAATATGTCGATAAAACAGAAACCAAACAGAAAGAGAGACCAACGAGCCAGAAATACGTCTGCATTCGCAGGCTACGCACGGTATGGATCAATTTTCTTCATCTTTTACAATAAAAAACTGGGTTTTGCTTGCACAGTTTGTCAGTCGTTGATTAACTGGTCGTTGTCACGAGGTTTTGGCAGTTAGGACGCGCTTAAGTTACCGTTTTAGAGAGTTTAAAATTAGAGTAAATGTATGGACCTCCGCCGGGACAAGAATAAGTTGCCGTTGTTGAGAGGTGCCCGTTAGTGAAGCTTCCACGGTAGCTTCATTAAGCCAGAACAGGTGGCTACTTTTGTCCTGGATAGTGGTTCAAATCCACTGGTGCTGTCTTTTATTGAAAAACCTGGTACATAGCTTATTGAAATTTGTTTCAGGGGCAATCACTTTCCATACAGTCTATGAATCGTGTAGTTTTTTTTAAAATAACCACAGTTGTCAGGCTCTCTTGTGATTGTTTACTATAGTATTACATACTTCCTTATTCTCAACAGGCTTTGCGAGGAGCAAATGTTCAAGGAACCCAAAACGTTCTGCTGTTTGCGTGTACTAGTAAAATCAAACCACTACACTACATCAGGTATGCAAAAACAATGTGACTTTTTTGTTACCCAAATGAATATTTCTCAGGAAGAGTGATCAACGGAGGAGGGACTGACCTGCACGGTTCACAAGGTTCTTTATATTTGGCCAAACAAAACAATGCGTAAACATCACAAACAACACCCCCACCACTAAGACCAAGAAAAGGTGCAGATTAAGTCACGGTATTTTGAGTTATTTTAGCCGCGTACAAAATTACCTTTTTGAAGGAAACCTGAAAATAGTAGTTTACTAAGATAGAAAAACACCAAAGAGACAATAATAAACCATAACGGAACAAGGATGGTTTAGGATGGAGAAGATTGATACGTATTACAAACCACGAACTTGAAAAATTTAGGGTAAACTTTTCAAACCGTGACGTAGCTTCTTTAACAAGAACGAATCAAAACAGGTTTTATAGAGGTTCGGGCCGGTCAAGGGCAGAGAAGACCAAAATCTAATTTGTTGTAACAACTGTAGTTGTTGGGTCTGCCATAACAGTTTCTTGTGTCTTCTTCCTTTTTCGTAGCACGGATGCTGTGTTCCCTCATGGATTGTCAAATTGTTCAGAAGATGCAGACATGAATCAATATGCAACGCAACTTGATGATGGGTATGTTATGTTGACATGTGATACTTACAGAATTGATTAATGTCATCTATAATTTAACAGGGGCTCGCTTGAGTTTGGCCATTAGACAGACTGGCCAGCTGTAAACATGATTTTAGGGACCGTTCATTTTTTATGAGGGAGGGGGGCTGGTGGGATTTGGGAAGCACCATTTAAAAATCGCATGACC